GAACTGATTCCAAAATACATGATATTTATATAAAAAATAAATTATAAAAATGTTCGTAATACGGAAAGTTATAGAAGCTTTTGATTACTAATTATTCTAATATTATTCTACTAGCTTCTTCATCTTTCTTAACCAAAGATCTTTATATATCTTTAACTTTAGTTCGATATTAAAGTGGTATTCAAAATCATCTTCAGATATTTCTTCCCCAAAGACTTCCTGATATTCTTTTTTGAAGATTTTTAATTCTTTTATTTTTTGTCTCAATTTTTTGGTTTCTTCATTTTCTAATTTCTTGAGATTGTCTATTCTTTTCATTTTTTCATCTTTAGATAAATATTTAGTTGGTTTTCTTTCTCCAATATTTTTTCTTGTCATTTTTTATTTATTATTATTATTATTTTTGTTATTATTTTTATTATATTGTTTATTTTGTTTTTTGAAGTAAATTCTTTTTCTCTCCTTTTTATATTCGTTTTTTGATTAGTAATTCTAATTACTAACTAAGCCTCTTTATCTTTTCTAGGTATTCTTCATATATCTGTGTTGCAAATATTTTTTCACATGATCTGCACACAATTCTATCTAAGATCTGCATATAATGTAAATTTTTCAAGGGTCTTGAACACTGTTCCCTTTCACAGTGATATTTGTATTTCCTTTGTTGTTCTGGGTCTGTTATACTTAACCACTCAAAATGTTTTATTCTAGCATTCTCAATGATTTTATTTGTAACGTTTTTATTCCTGAATAAATAGCTTTTTATTTTTCTCTCATATCCTTTTGTAATTTCTTGAGCAAATTCTAATGCTTTATATTCTTGATTTTTTCTTTTAATTTTTTCTTTTTCTATTTTTTGAAGAAATTCTGACTTTTTCTCTTCCTTCCTTTGTATATTCTTGTAACAATTATTGCAGATTTTGTGTGAGTGATGATCTTTTAAATCCTTTTCATATGGTACTTCTTTACAATTTTCTAATCTGCAATGATGTCCCGCAACATGATGATATTCTACTAAGTTATTTTTCGTCTTACATTCTTCACACTTTCCTAGTCAATCAGATCTATAACTATTATTTTGTTGGTATCCATCTTCTTCAAAATTCTTTTTGAATGAAAATTCTCTTCCCAAATCATTAATTATTCTTTGATTTTTACAATCCCTTTCTAAATGTCCTTTTCTATCACAAATTCCACATATCCTTTCTGGACAAAATCTTTTAATGTGTCCCTTTTTTCTACATATTTCACATTCTACTTCTGGACAGTCTTGAAAGTAATGTCCCTCTTTATTACAATTTGAGCAAGTATTTCTTTTCCTTTCTATCGAACGAGTTTTGTTATTTTCTTGAAGATTTCTTTCTTTAAATTCTTTCCATTCTTTTTCATATCTCTTATTCTCTGGATATAATTCTTTTCTTTGGTCAACTTCTTCTGGATAAAATTTTTCTTGTTGGGTTATTCCCCGATAATTTTGTTGATCAATTTCTTCTGGATAAAACATTTCTTGTTGTCTTCTATTAATTTCTCCTAATCTTTGTGAAATATGGTTTTCTTTTTTATGTTCTTTTATAGTGATCATTCCTAATCTTGTTTCTAGTTTATTTTTTCTTTTAACTTTTTCTTCTATTTCCTTCTCCAATTCACTGATTTCTATTTGGATTTTTTCTTTTTCCTCTTTTTCTTTTTGTTTTTTAATATTTTTCAGAATTTTCTGATATTCTTCGAAGTTTTCTAGAATTTTTTGTTGTTCCTCTTCAGTGATAATAGGACTAGTAATTTGACTATTTTGTTGGCTCATTTTTATATATTATTTTTATTATTTTGTTTAACCTGTATATTTTAGATATTTCTTTTTGAATTATATTTTTCTTTTCTCGTAGTTTTTTAATTATAAATATTTCTTTTTTATAATTTTCTGAATTTAATATTCTTAATTTTTTATCTAATTCTTTGTTAATTTTTGTAATTCTTTTGATTAAATTTTCTAATTTTCGATTATTTCTTTTTAATATTTTTTCTTGTGTTTCTTTTATTATTTTAATTATTTCTTTTTCTTTTTGTTGAAATTTTTCCATTTCCCTGGTTAGTCTTTTTCTTCCTCTTTTTATAGCTCTGAATTTTTAGCTGACAAATTCTTTCTTTTTGATTTATAATTTTCTTTTGATTTCTAATTTTTGGTCCTTCGGGATACAATTCTCGTCCTTCGACGCTTACTAATTCAATTCCTTCCTTTTCAAGCTTTTCTTCTTGTATTTCTATTTGTTTTTCTGCTGACAAACCTATTCGTGTCATAAGATCTGCCCATTTATTCTTATC